TGACGATAGTGGTCACAAGCATCAATTCCAAACATGCCAAACATCCCTTCTATTCGGCCTTTTCACGGTTTCTTCTGCCCAGCTCAGGCTAGACACGTCTCGGTGCATTCTAGTCGTCGAATTGTTCGGTCTTCAGCCTATGGCTAATTTGTTTCCGCAAATCATTATGCAAAACATTTGCTGCACAAAGAAAACTTGCCTATAGGTCCTCTTCGCAACAGTATTCGATGTGCTTCGTGTTGGTCGCCCATTTCCATCCACACTTTGTCGTCCAGTCCATAGGCGGTTGCCAGAACTGGCAGCCTTGTGTGGAGTGAGCCGTACCTGAGATCATGTTGCGAATGTAGGAGGGCCTCAGGTTCTCCCAGAGCAGTCGCACTTCTCCTTGTAGCTCCACTAGCGGCTGTCCCGTCGATGATGAGCTGACTGTCTCAACGGTCGGTTCGGAAGCTCTGGCCTTCTTCAGAGCCTGAAGTTCGTCCTTGCACTCTTCGATCAACTTCTGCGTCTGCCTATAGTCAGCCAGCATGGACGGTGCATTTGGGGCCTCCTCGAGCGCCTCTTCAACATATGCCTGCACCACGTTGGTGCTATGCCGTGACATGTGCTTGATCAGCTCGATGGGGGTGCCGCTCCGGGCCAGGGCCTTGGCCCCGCTGCGCCTCATGAAGTGTCCAGTGAGACGCTGCACATCGATGTCGCTCGCGTTTTGCACACGAGCGGCGATCCTCGCAGCATCAGCCTGAGCCGTCTCGACCATGTTGACCTTTGACACAAAGAGCCTGGGCGCACCCTCCTGTCCCACCAGCGGCATCGAGTGGGCCAGCAGCGAACATGGATCAACTTGTGTGCGCTCTTCCTGGCGCGCGATCAGTTCTTGAGCTACATCAAACGGACAGTTCAATCCGTGGAACTCAACCATGGTGCGCTTTCCGCAGCAGGGCAGTGTGCGCTTCACTCCCCGGCCTCCCGGGTCTGTCTTTGGCGCAGCAAGTGCAAGTGTGATGGTCTTCCGGTCATGATCCAGGTGGACGATGTCCTTGTGTAGCGTGAGGCACGCCAACTCAACCTCCCGAAGTAGAAAATGACATCCAAGTGCCCAAACTAGCAATCCACCATGTGGTCCTTCAGGCTTTGGCGGTCCCACCACCCCACCATCGAGCTCCCAGGCTTCCTGCATCCACTCCATGCGGATTTCTTCCGACCGACGAGTGGGGCCTATGCCTCTAGTGCAAACCCTCTTGCATTCTTTGATGCAAAGTTCAAGTTGCTCATTCCAGCCAAAACCTTCTTTCAAATGTCGCTGCCTGGCTTCCACCAGGTAGTTGTAAGTGGTTCGAAATCCTGCGGCGCGAAACACAGAAACAAACAGCTGACACTTCTCGGTGGTGAGGGGCAGAGGTGCAAGGTCATGAGTGGCCATGACTTCACACCATGCTTTGAACATGGAGGCCTTAGTGTCCATCGTACCCGCCGCATAGGCCAACTGTTGGTAGCCCACACGTGCACGATGTACCAAGGCAGGAGACTCTGCGATCTCCAATGCCCTCTTGAGGGTAGGTTTGACGCGCCCTTCCACGCGTGTTGGGTCTGGTGTCAAAGGTGCTCCTGGCCGGCGTCTGACCAGTGTCTCAGGGTCCAAAACGATGACCCTTGCACCTTCTGTCGGTGTGCTTGCGACTCCACTACCGGAGCTTTCTCCTCCACTTCCGGAGGCCGCCACTGCCACACCTGCCACTTGTGCTTCTAATCTCGCTCTGAGAACTAGTGGCGGTAGGTCGTTCTCGTTCTCCATCGACCCATCACCGACTGTCCACACAGACTGGTTTCTATGATGCGCCCTCCTACTCAGGGTGCGCCCTCCCGGGACCCAACCTGAGCGTGAGCTCGCGCACCAGTTCCAAACGTGGGACAACACCATATCGGGGAAAAGGCAAGACTTGGGCAGTGTAAGGCTGCGAGCGACCGATCACGAAAAGTGACGAAGACACACCTCTTTTCCTTTCTCAGACCTCGTTCGTCGCCTAGAGCGAACATCGACGAATGAGCCTCGCTTCATCAGTCAAAGTGAGCTGCCGAACACCCAACAATTCATGCGGAGTTTCGCCTCGCGAAAGAGAATCCGCAATGGTGTTGAGCAACCCACGGATATGACGTCCTTCAAGCGGTGGCAATTCGAGAAACTCCAGCTCTAGGATCAGTTCTCCAGCTAATCTGGTTAAAAATGGACTCTTTGAGGTGAATGACAAAGCTGCAAGCAAGGTGGCCGTGTTATCACTACGGAGAAACACTCTATTATACAGGCCGCCTAGAAGAAAACACGCAAAGAATCTGAGTGCACACAAAACGGCAAACATTTCAAACTCCGTCTGCCATGCGGGATCTCCGATCTGACAACCTGAGCCGATCCATTGTGCGTCCTTAGGTGTCAGAGCGTGCATGAAGAAACCTGCCGGGTGAGTCCCAAATGCAATATACCCTCCAATACCGGTCGGGCAAGCGTCGGTCCACAGCTCACACATCGGCAGCGACTCTTCAAATTTAAACACTTTAGAAAGGGACGGCATACGGACCTCTCGGGGGCATTGATGGGGATCAGCCTGTATCGGCGAGCCGTCAGCACACTTCCGCGCTGACGTGCCCACCTGCAGCATGGCGAACAAGCCATGAACCGCCCACGCGACTTGCTTCCAGAAGCATAGCCTCTTCCGACTCCGCGTCTGCGGTTTCGCCGGCTCGTGCCCACGCTGCGCGTCAGTCAGGGCTCCCCACAATGCCGAGGTCCAGGGACCCGAGGCTGGGATCAGATTGCTGACCCACCCCATCACGCCCGCCGCCTGGGCCAGCGTGCGGACTGGTATCATCCCCTTTTGTCCCTCCTGGATGATGGCTTCAAACAGTTCGAACAATTTGGCGGTCTTATCGGGAGTGAGGGAAACCCTGAGGGTGCAGCTTGGGGACCATTCGATTGCGAGCGCGACACCGATCCACTCGACGTCACACCCCCTACTCACCTTCTTCCAAGCGAGCCGAGCTCCCAAGGCACACCAAAGAAGGGTGACCCGAGCAAACACACGGGAACGATCGTGGGAGTTCCTACCAAGTGCAATGAGTATGGGGTCATCAACATAGCACTGCGAGCGACCTTCGCCCGTTCGCATGGTTGCTTGGCCCAACCGCAACAAAGCCGCAGCCAACCGTCCCCAAACCAAAGGGCCGCAACAGAGCCCGAAACAAACGCACTTTAAAATGTAGTAGGCTCCGTCGTTCCCCTTTACGACCGTGTGAGCTTGCTCATCCTCATGAAGCTTCAAAGTGTAAAATGCATCAGAGAAATCAATGATGTAAAATTCCGGAGTTTCTCCTACACGTGCATGTTTCAAAAGTTCTTTGAGTGCAGAAGCGACATCCGAAACCCTAGGGAGGACTACTCTTTCAAACACTTTCATCATGCCATTAATGCCGGACCTTCGCATATCGACGATGATCCGCACCTTCTCTCGCCCTTGCTTCATTTTCACAATGCATGCCATCTTGGTGAGTGTGGCCGGTCCAACTTGATCTACGACGGCCTGCCATGTCGGGAGGCGCTCGGCCCAGCCGCACTGGACCATCCTGTCAAGCTCGTGCTGTGCTTTCTCACCAGCTTCTTCACGGGAGCTGTAGTTGCGAGCCATGCCATCCCAATCATCCATGACTGCAAAGGCCTGAGAGGCTTTGGCAGCGGCCGTGAGGTCATCTGTGCGAGGGAAGATGCCTGCGCATTCAATCTCCCTATTGATGCCGATGGGGAAGCCATGCTCAATCCAGTCTGGCAGCACTGTAGCGTCAGGGTCATCTGCCTGACACAAAAGCTCTCGCAGCAACCCGGACTGGTAGCCCTCTTGCACAAGCTCAGCTTCAAACTCATGTCTCAGCCTGTCACGGGGCTTTCCAGATCAGGTCCTCCGCGAATGGGCAATCATCATGCGCATTCTCAAATTCCGTCAGGACCTGCGATGTCAGCAGATCTTCAAAGCATTGTCGAATTCGATTGCCGACCCCACGAAGATGGACATTTCGTGCAACTGCTCTTCTAGGGTCACGTAGGCCTCCGATGGCCTCAGCATTCTCTCTCTCCCGCCTTTGTGCGGCGGTCTCCGAACTTGACTCTTGAACAGGACGTGCCACAGCTGTCTGACCTTCCCGCTCCCAAAGCTTGTCGAGAGAGAGCAGGGTCATGTGAGGACCTTCGATTCTCACCAGCGTCCTCGATGCCAGCCATCGCTGCCCATCCACAGCCTCGAGCCACGTCTTGAGTGCCCCGGCCCATGCCCAGCAGAGGCCTGCCGGGTATTCCGCAGCTCTTGAAGTTCGCCAGATCCAATCTCCCGAAATGGGATCCCACACGTGGCCAGTGAGTCCACCTTCTCGATGACGATGGGGGCGCACATCTTCGCATCTCAGGGTCACTCGTTCCATCCATGGTGCGGCTGAGAAGATCCCAGTGGGTTTCTTGGTCTCCGCCCCGTAAGGGCATTGGTCGAGCTCCAGCAACTTTGCATTCATGACTTTCATGAGTTGCCGCACTGTCTTGATCTCCCAGGCATACGAGCCAAGTGGATTCTCCATGGTGAAGAACTTGCCCCTCTCGTGCGCCCTGAAGCCAAGCGCTACAGTCCTCTTCAAAATCTCGTTGCCCTCCTCGGCCAGTGGATGTCCCCAGCCTTCCGGGTGTGCATCGTCTCGGACCACCACAGATGTTCCGTGCACGTCCGACCTTCGAGCCCGAGTGAACGACTTGCAGGGGAAAGCTGCATGCGTCCAGTCTGCCTCCTCCACTTGTGCCTGCGCCCACTTGTAGCCCTCGTCGGAAAGGATGTCCCAGTCGTGGTAGATGTCTTGAGGCTCCATGACATCCACTAGTCCTCCAGCCACATCCTTCACTGCTCGCGAGAGGCCACCCATGCCAGCGTAGAGCTCCAGGAAGCGGAACTTTCTCAGTCTTGTATCGAAATTCACCTGTCTCGAAGTGGAAGGGACCTCGCAAAAGTCGTACTCCTCCTCTCCAGTCTCGACTGCCTCTTCCAGTTCTCTCTTTGGTCATTTCTTCCATTTGTTCTTGCCACCAGAGTCCTTGTTCTTGCCGCCCCCTTTGTTCGCCCTCGGGCACTGGGCATTCGGGCGACGACCCAAGCAAATCTGACAGGAGTGATCCCTCCCGTCTTTGCATGGCTCTGGACAGCTGTTGTTCGCACCCTTGGCAAATCTGTAGCAAATATCCACACCATCCGCATTGGCGGCATATAGACCACCTTTGGCCTTCTGGTAAGGCGTGTTCTTCGCAGGGTCCGATCTGCTGCCTTCCCATGCCTGAGGTCCGGACCAAGTAGACCACGAAGAAGATCCGGGGTTGCTCGAAGGTGTCCACTTGTCTCGAAGCTCCTTGTCTCGCCTTCTCTTCTTCGCTGCTCTCGATTGTCCTTGTCCAGGCGGGCTGTCTACACTGTTGGAGACATGTTCGAGGACCTCCTGCGCCGTCTCCGGGATGGTGGCTGCTGCCGCTTTGTCCATGGTCATCTTCTTTCCTCCCCTGGCGATGAAGTTTTGCGCTGGCCTCACCACATGCTCGTCCCAGTAGGTCGCATCTCGTGCTGCATGGGTGAATACCCCGATCCAGGGTGTTGCAGGGTTGAAGTCCAGGCCCATCGGCAATTTGCCATCCACTGCAGCCTTGACCAGCTGGCGCCGGTAGCGCTCGAACATCTCTGAGCGGCATCGGTCCTCGGCCTGCATCAGCAGGTGCCAGGTCTCTGGGAATTCTGCATTGAGCTTGACCACCCTCTCGTAGTATTCCTCGAGGCAGGCTGCAGAGACAACCCTTTGAGGAGATCCACCTGGGGTCGTGGCTGCATAGCGCAGCATGAACAAAGCCGCTCTGTATACTTTCCAGCAGGCGGACCAAGTCTCGAAGCTTGGCGGTCCAGGGATGTCGAGTGCACGGAAGCTTCCATCCTGCTGCAGCATCCAGGAACGAGCCTTCATCTGCTTTTGTACCCTCCTGCCGAAGGGGGTGAGCACCGAGAAGTCGGCGTACGGAGCTTCCCCCCTTTCCACCACTCTTGCACGAAGGGCAGCGATTTGCTCGCTTGTGGGTTCTGCGTCCGCAGGAGGTTCGGCACCTGTGATCTCCACATGACATCTGTATGCTTCGTCTATCTGCGCCTGTGTGAGTACAGGCACCTCGGACTCGTCGAGCTGGTCCAAGACTGAGTTGGTCTTCACTCTTTTCTGCGATGTCTGAGGAGGTGCAGCCGCATTCGTAGGTGAAGCTGTTCCACCTAGATCGGACAGTGGGTCCACATCGTCCATGCCATACACGTGCCTGGCTACCCTCCAAGTCAGGGCCAACTGAATTGCTTCGACCACATTGAGCTCGCGGGGTTCCCCTCCTCCAGTGACAGCAATTCGCACGTGGTTCAAACTGGCCTTGAAGGCGGAAGGAGCCATGTTGGCCATAATCCTCAAATTCGGCACCGTACCAACAGCACGCTGCCAAGCTGACCAGCAGGGATCCTGTGCGCCAGACCATCGTTGGGCCGCGGCCAAATCGGTGATGCCTCTAAGCTCGTCGCCGGTGGGGAGCAGGGTGCCGGCCATGCAAGGCCTGAAAGGCCTGGAGCGTCACCACGTCAGACGCTACCACGAAGTCCTCCACAGACTTTCGGCCGACCCACCAGCGGGCGAGACACCACCCACAGCAACCACCAAGGAGCCACACGCCCAGCACGAACAGGAGAAACTCGTCCATGCCAGACGTGGAAACCCAGGGTCGCAATCTTGAGCCAAAATTGGCCCGACCCTGAATTCACAACCACGCCACCTAAACACAGCTCAACTGTCATTACTTGCAAAAGGGTTTTGCATCACAAATATATATATATATATAGATGTACCGGTGCCAAATTGCAGCTTGTTCAATAGCCCGCTTGACCTCTGTTTGATAGGATAAGACCATATGGGGTTGTTGATGATCCGAAATAGAGGTCACTCAGGTTCTTGGTGTATATATTTGGTTCCTTTACTTCCCGAAGATCGCAAGTCCCGGCTCACCCACACATCCCTGCAATGAGATGCGGGAATGTCCTACAGCTAAATAGAGATGTATGCTGGAGGGAAAACTCTGAGTAAAAGCGGGGCCCCCAGCATCTATTCGGGGCCACAAATGGACACCCACCCTCCTGTGTGTGTGGATCTCCATGGCACACCCCTTGGATGGTCCAAAAAGAGGAGAACAATGACTGACAGAATGCCATGTGATTGTTCAAAGCTCACGTGCAGGTGTTGAAGCTGTATCCCAATTCATATCCCAGTCAGTGTGTGTGTGTGTGTGTTTGTTTGCTTGCCTGTTTGTTTCTTTGTTTGTGTGTGTTTTTGTGTGTGAACGCCTCATAAACAGAGTGCATGTTTGCAGCACAGTGTCAATTTCGATAGACTAATTACAAGATATTACACGAAAAGAAACACCAAAAGCCCACATAGTGCAACATTACTGCAAGCCACTCATCTGACAGACTGATATCTTCATCATCTCTTCTCCTCTTCACCGCGAACGGCCAATGAATCAATCAGCCGCTCTTCATGCATGGGCCGTTCGCGCCGTTCGCTCCGCCTACTCTCTGCTGCAACGAAGAGTCGGCCATTGCTGGCGTCCAAGCGACCAACTGCTGCTTGCACTCTCGGTAGAAAGATACTGGGCAGAAAGATGGCACTTTCAAAGCAATGCCGTGGTCTTGTACAGACGGAGATAGTTTGGGCTGGTTGCTTGCTTTGGAAAAGAAATGAAAAAAACAATGCCGTATAGCTCATAGGTGCTTGCTCTTTCATGTCATCAATCGCGTGAATAGCTCACAAGGTGGCTTTGCTCCCTGTGACCAGGCTGTGCAAGTCCTTGTGTCCTTGAAGTTGCAAAAAATCAACAGTAACGTGCTCAACACTGTAACTGGTATACTGTAGACTCTTAAACATGGGGCGGATCAGGACACTACCCGCACGGCACCTGCACCACTCGGCGACATGACTGTTCTTTGGTTCTGCCCAAACCCTCGGTCGAACGGTCGAAGGGGACTGACCTGGCGACCCGAGGTCGCGGAGGTACCACCGAATCTTCCGACCGCGACAAAGGGTTCAGAGAGGTTCAGAACCGCCCTGAAACATGACCGGTCAACCACCTGGTTAACCAGGTCACCACCTGTTCAGAGGTGTTTGAAAGTTCCTCACCTGGTTGAACTGGTTGACCCGGTTGAACCGCTGAGCGCCCCGGACGCCCAAGGCCACCAACTGCGACTCGAGCTCGGCGATCCGAGCGCGGAGCTCCTGAAATCCGGAGCTCGGCCAGGGCTGGAAACTCGGTCTGGGCGTGGGTCGACAACACACCGCGGCCGAAGCCTTGCCTTTCCCCTGAAAAAGGCCCTAAACAGGGGAGCGTACCTCGCAAAAAAACATCAAGGAATACCCAATTGTTCCATTGCAAATATATGGCTTAAGCCGTGCTTTCTTTCGCAGTGCAGGAATGAATTGTTCTAAGACTGTCGTACCTTTTTGGGACGCTTGGTCTTGAAAACGGATGATATGATATGGATGCTTGGGATCTGTGCCCCAATTTTGCAGAATGGATCCTAGTTAGGCGTGGACCTGTGTGAAGTGCCCCGAGAAACCGAACCTCCTGGTAAAGGACATATAGTATAGAATCAGATATGAACCCATCGGTCCAGTGGAGAGTGTCCTATTCTACTGTGTCAACCCATGCGGGAGTGATCATTCAAGTTGATGGTCAAACTCCAAGAGAATGGCCCATCCACTACGAATGGCCACCGACAGTCACAGAATTCGCAGGACTCGCTGCCCTCTTTTCACAGCATCGCGCTGAGAACGACGCCTCCAGTGAGCCCAAAGAACGTACAGCGATTGAAAGGCAGAACGCAGCGGGTCTGCAGAACCGACGAAGAACATCATCGAGTTCCTCCCAGTCCTCCATCTCCTTGCGTACTGCAAATGGTTCAAAGCCAGCTCTGAACAAATTATATATATAAGTTAATTGAGCCTTTTCACTCATAAGAAAGGCTCTCACCCCTGTCTGAAATTCTGCTCTCTCGAGCTTTATTCTGAAGAGTGTTCAGATGTGTGCGTGTATGTGCATGTGTGTCAAAAGATGGGGACACCGCAAAGACGCTAGCAACAAGGAGAAACTACTTCAAACATCTTCAAAATGAAAATCCGTTGGTGGGAGTTCTCCTCATTGTGACCAACTCAAAGAAAAAGGACCAGCCAGAAGAAAGTAAATCAAACACCATGGAACAGTGAACACCAACCATTGGACGGTAGGACAAAATCTGTCTAATTAATGACCCACACACACACACACATACACACAAGCTTTTATGCAATCCTTTCTTGACAGCCCAGCCACATGACCAGGTCGGAGTCGACTCGCTCGACTTTTCGGGTTGATCTCCGTCGCGGGCGGCTTGACCGAGAACTACTTTGGAAGCTGAACGCTTTGTAAATGCTGAGAAAAGTTGGCAATGAGCCCATTCCATGCGTCGTCCTTACACATCAGGAACATCACTGGTTCCTACGTGTGACATGGAAAGCATCGTTGTCGTTCCACATATAAGCTACACAATTGTGGCATACGGTATACAAATGAATCAAATGAAAAGAACAAACAAGTTATAGTTCAGTGGGACCGGGAATGTTTTATTGCTCTGCAGAAAAACATGTATATTAGAAGAAATAAATAGAAATAGAAGAACGCATAATATATAATATCTGCATACTTATCTGCATTGTATCCGCAAATGGGTTGTGACTCCAAAATACCTACCCAGGGACCGCATATTCCTCGAGCAGACTTCCATGTTGGTCACAAACACCCTATTCTGCCATATCATATCCTCTGCTTCGGGCGGCTGATGCCGTCGCCCACGCTAGGCCGATCTGAAAGTCACCAGATGAAGAAAGCTGACGTGGCACCAGAGCGAAGGTGGAGGGACTCAAGGTGTACCAGTCCTCCTTTGATCAACATGTTTCCAGATCAAGTGGGACTGAACCTCTGAATCATGGCTATAGATATGCCCAGGGTCGACTCCGTCCGTGGTCGAACAAGCGCTTCCGACTCCATGTACGACCGGATCTCACTTTTCGATACTTTCCCTACCACCAACCACTCCAAACCACAACAAACCGCCTACTCACCACTCCACCCCGCTGGCTTCTCCTCGACCTGCTCCGCCACATGCTCCTCACCGTGCTCCGAAGACCCTGTTCCGAAGACGCGCTCGGACCCGTCCGCTTGGGACTCGCGGATGGAGGTCAGCATCGTCAACGCCACGTCCTGGGACGTCAAGTCGATCTGCTGGACGATCCGTCGGCGCACGGCACCTCCGCCGCGCGGGGTGTCGGTGTGTCGGTGTGTGAGATGGTGAGGGCGAACCGGTGGCCACCGGCTTGGAGTGGCCATCCGGATCAAACACCCTTCGAGGCCAGTTCTGTAGCAAACCCCGAGAGGGACAAAACCAAACTCCATGAGAGCCACTACGAGAGCCCTTAAAACAAAACCAGCATCGAATCACTCTGGACACCCAATCCTCATCCTTTCGTTGCCACATCGCAATGAGCCGGTGCCGTTGGGCGCCCACCCGTGAGATCAGCTCCACCGCCAAGCGCTCCGTCTGCCAGGAGGAGGGGTACAGAGCCGCCCAGCCGGAGCCATAGGAGGCCGAGGAGCGAGGGCCAAAGGGTTGTAAGAAGTTGCTCCTGACTCAGTCGTGGGTGGGCCGGGGTGCTATCGGGTGCTCACGGTTTTTGCAGCGAAAGAGTGTTTGAGTGAACGCATGCGCCCGTTGGCCCGTTCTTCGATTCTTCTGCAGGAAACCTTTGGGATGTAGGATCCAAGCGGTTGATCATCCACCACCACCACCACCACCACAGCAGTAAGGAAGTGTGGGATTTACAGTTTGGTGTGACCAATTTATGGCCCTGATAATGTGGGTTTGCAGTTGCCTAAGGAGCTACATGGAGCTACTCCTTTCATACAAACTGTCATTGATCGAATCAGAACACAATTGAAGGAATCAAATGCAAGCTTTGTCGGTCAAAAGCCTACGACTGCGTAGGTCAAGAGGCCCAAAACCCGGTGTTCAACACGACCAATAACGCATGGCCATACTATGGCCATACAGGTTTGCTGAATGAGTTCGGCACATCTCTTGAGCGTGCTGGGGACGAATCCAATCCCAAAGACATCTTCGAGCTGTGTCAGGCTGTGTCAGGGAAGAAACCAAGAGCCCACCACTACGAATGCTGAACCGCATTTCACCCCAGGCTATTGCTCAACAGTACAGGCTTTATTAATGATTCCGAAAAGCATCACCACGTGACAACCACAAACTGCAAGGCGTCTTCTTCAACTCATTGCCATGGTGTTTTCTTGATCTGGCAATAAAACCACGCAGCAAAATCCAAAAGGTCTGCTGCCCTGTCAAGGCTCTTGTTCATCTGCCCAAAATCCACTTCCATCATCCCATCCGAGCCCAAAAGCCCCGGCTTGGGCGCCACCTTGCGTTTGTGGTAGGGGAGGATGTGCAGGATTTGGGTTTGTATTCTAATTTAAACATTCCCTGTAGTCAGATTTCCTACCTTGGGACACCTGAGGTCGTCTTTGCTTCCGATTCCGGCTGTGAAGTGAAGTACTCCAAGGCCCGTACAACCCAATTAATAGATGAATCGATGGAATACTGCAGTATATACATATCATTAGTTATCTATCAAAAAATACCCAAGACCTTCACCACAAACGTACCAACTTGACCCTTCGTGCTCCCTCCGGACCTCCGGTGGATAGCGGTTCACATGATGCACCGATTCGCCATCCGCCGCCACACAAGGGGCGCAGGTGGCTCGAAAGCGCTGGGCGGATTTCAGCGAGGGTCCCTCCACCGAGAGCCGTTGCCAGGTGCCATGCCAGGTGCCACAAAGCCTGGAGACACCACTGGCACGGGTTGGTGAACGGGAAAACCGGTCCTGGTTGGATTCAATTCATTCTGTGATACCGTTGCCAGGGCAGCTGGTCGTGTATCTGGCACTGAACCAATGTGTGCACTCAGATTCCTTGGAGCATGCCCGCAAGAAGAACATCACCATGCCCTCATCACTTTCGGTGGGGACATGTCTTGGGCCTGCCCCACTGATCCACAAGCAAAACATCCATGATTTCGTCAAAGAAATGGTGGACATGGAAAAGACCTGCCTTGAGGGGAGCCACTTTCCATGTCCACCAATATCATCTGATTGATGTAAAATTGTTTTAAAAAGAAATGGTAAAATATTAAAATATAAGAACATCCCCGTGTGCCGAGGTCAATCCTCTCTTTCTTATTTTTTAGATCCACCGTCTACATGTATCATCCGAGAATCCCCAAATAGTTCTGCCACTGCTCCGTGAGGTCCACGGGCTTTGGATGGTGCAGCCATGCGCGCACGGCTCGCGGAACCCCACGGCTCGATGAACCCATGGCTGTCGCCGCCGGCCGAAGCAGTCCGACCGGGGAAGGCGTTGGAACACCACGGATGCTGCGCTGCTGCGGACCCAACGGATGGTGCCAAGACATGGATGTGCATCAAAGACATGGGAGACCAGTCTGAAGGAAAATAGACCAGTCTACCATCGTCTACCCAGTGGTTGGGTGTCACCAAAAAAAGACAACTACACACCCACATGGAACCTCTCCAATCACGAACTACATGGTTTGGCTATGGGTAAATAGTATTACTGATGCTCGTCCAGCTAGATCTCACACTTCTCAAGAAGATCCAGAAAATGGATGAAAATGGTCTCCTGGCATCTTCGAGAATTGAGATCACAAAGTCTCCTTAGCAACAAGTTCAGGTTCCTCCCTGGTGTCAGTGTCCCATAGTGGGGCCGGGCATACCCCTCTGCCCGAACAGGACCTCTACTCCGTCCTTCTGTGCGTCGGAATCAGCCGCCGCCACCTTTTCCACGAAATGACTGAAGCCACTGGATCGTGGCATGGCGAGTTGGGCGCGGATCGTGGTTTCAAGTGCCACTAAGAGATGCTCCAAGGAGCAAGCACCTGGAAAACACCTGGACCCCCCGGTTGGAATGGAGGACGAATCTGGAAAAATGCAGTGAAAGAGACGAGACCATTGTTTGTGGGGTTGACACCAAAACACATTCACCCGGTCACTTGATCTTGATCATCGGATCAGGTTCGGATCAGGTCGGATCAGGTCGGTTCATGTCGGTGCAGGTCGGTGCAAGCCGAGTCCAAGTGCTCTCATACCTCTAAGTATCTGATGCTGTCGATCTGCGTGTTCGTTGGGCCGCGAAGCCGGGGCCACGGCAGCGGTGAGCGAGCGGGATCTCCCCAAGCCAAAACATCCAGTGCCCGCTGGCGCAGTGCATGAGCGCCGCTCGGTGTGTATCATGGCCTCTTTCGTCATGATTTCCACACAATGGTTATAGTGGAACATTGCGACGACAACAACTACTACTACTACTACTCCTGCTGCTGCTGCTGCTACTACTACTACTACTAACTATAACTACTACTACTACTACTACCACTACTACTACTACTACTACTACTACTACTACTACTACTACTACTACTAC